TGCAATTAAACAAACAAAAAAAATTAAATGCAGATGAGGATAAACAAGATAACATGAAAGTAGTTTGGATAAAAGTACAAAACATAAAAGCACTGATACAAGTTCTGTTTGATTCTGTTTTATCATTAAATAAAAAGATAGACACAACACTAGAGATTCTGACGCTGATACTTGCCATGTTCATTGAATAATTTTGTGATTTTGTCTTTAGTTATTCGATGTTGATAAAACAGGACAGAGTTTTTAGACAACTAACTACAACAAAATAAAAAAATCTGCAAAATGACAAAAAGTGGAAGGAATGATGTAACAAAGGTATGAATGTAACAATGTAAAAAGCAAAATAAAAAAATTACTTCAATTTCACAYGGGCACAACAAACTAATAACTACCTCCAAACATTTTAAAGACTCTGCGCTACTGACTGAAACAAAACAAAAGAATCTATCTCATCCAATACTTCGATCGATACGCCCACCCCCTACCTACAAGKCCAGTCTGTTAAGCTCTGGTGCCTCCTTCATTTTACCTCTGCTCTGCTAAAATTACAAGCTTGAAAATAAACATCAAATGGGTGCACAATAAAATGAACACATAGCTAAAATTATACACACCCACCTCTTAAAAAAACAATATGAATCCATCATAGAAGTAGGGAAAAAAGCTCTAAATTTAGAAAAGATTTATCAAAAACTACCTGGAAAACATTGACCTTTACACCTCTCATTACAAGGACACGCACTGAGCGAGTCAGACGGTACAGTTAAACAGTTATCAGTCTGTACACCATCCATGAGCAGACACAAACTCAACACATGCAAAACAATATTAACTAAATACTAAACACATGCTGGTCTTTGAGACTGGCTGCTAAAAGTGTTACAGCTCCCCGTGGAACAGAAAATRTGCACATATTTTATCTCAACATATTTCGTATTACTTGTATGTAAAAGACCCAAAAACGGCACCAGTAGGCAGCATTTTAGATTTATTTCAATACAAATACTTTTTCGCTAGAAAGAATTTCAAATACAGAATGCTCTGCACATCCATCTGATGCATAATCAATACACAGCACTGTGCAAAAGTCTCTGTCATCCCTAATTCTTTTATACTTTCCTCCCAAGCAGACAGTTTATGTAATCATTTGATGTGGTCTTGATCGATAGTTCTTCAGGCTTTCTGAAGGTCTGTCAATATTTTTCTTTGGACTTTGACTGTTTTTTTCACTCATTTTTGTTCTCTCCATGACCTGCACCTGAACATGACAACATATTGTWCTGCACATATAAATTAGGGAAAGTGAGAAGTAAAGGACACAATAAGAAAATGTCAGAACTAAATAATTACAGGCAGAGAGCAGAGAGTGAAAGGCACATCTTAAAGAAATATTTAAAAAAACGAGCAAAGACCTGAAACAGAGATCATCATCTTTCAGCTGATCCTGTTTGAAGCTCATACCTCTGTGGGACTCATCTTGATTGTACTAAAATACGTTTTTAAGCTTCAAGCTGTGTTATCTTTGGTCATTTCTATCAATTCAACTAAAGAAATGGGAACAAACTGTGACAGACGGCTAGAAACAAAATGTCTGAAGATCTTAGGTTAAACACATTCTTTGCTAAACCTTTGTGTTTCAACACTCATTCATTCATTGATCTTAGGAGACTTTTTTATGTCAGCATGATTCATTGATCAAAATCAAGTGGCTTAGTAAGCTAAAATAAATAAATAAATAAATAAATAAATCAAACAAACAAACAAACAAACAAACAACAAAAATCTTTTGAAAATGGTAAGGTACTAGATTGAAAATTAAGGAAGACATATATTGTAAATCCTTCTTTATCACATATAATATCCTTCAGTTGTGGTCTAAATAAAGAGGAACTGCAATGGTTTGGCTTGATTTCCTCCTTACTGTAACTCCACAATCCCCTCTTTCACCCCTTTTCTGAGGTGTGTCTCAGATCAACTCGTTTTGAGGCTGTCTCTTTAAATCTAAATAATGGTGCTTCACACCCCGACCCCCTCCAGCTTCTAGGGCGTTCCTTTCTAATTCAATAGAGGGGTTCACAACTTTATAATGGTGCCAATTTTTTTATTACATATTAATTAAAAGATGTCAAGAAGGGAAGACCTGTCCATCCAGCCTTACATGTTGGAGCCAGAGTCTGACCCACAGCGATATGTGCATGATCAATAATCGTAGAAAAATGTATCAATAAAACACTGAACAAAAAGTATTTGATCTGTCCCATGTGGTCAGACTGAACATTTATTATTATTATTTTTATTTAATCTTTATTTAACCAGGTAGAACTCATTGAGTTTAAAAATCTTTTTCAAGAGAGACCTGGACAAGAATGACAGCAGCACACAGACATTACAAAATTCCAAACTACAAATATTAAACTACAATCAATTACTTCATGATAAATAAAAGAAATACAAGAAACACTCATAAAAGGTAAGACAGAACTAAAATAGAGTACAAAATCAGTTAAAACATGTACAAACAAAGGTCTTAAGTATAAACTCATTAAGAATGGCCCTACAAACATTAAGAGACCAACTCCTTCAACTTCAAGACTTTCTCACATCAGCCAAAGCAAAGCATCATGTCCACTGTCCCCTGTCCCCTGAACTCTTGCCATCACTTCCAATAAACCAATAATGAAGGACAAAACTGGAGCAGAAGCCTGGCACCTCCAGGCTGACCATCACATTTTTCACAGTCTCACGTTTCCTTCAGCAAAATTCAGCCTTTGTAAGACGTTGTGTTGGATTGTTTCAGATTAAAGAACTGCTTCCAGAGGCAGACATGAGTTTTTTTATTTTTATTTTTACCTGGTTCATGATGGACGTTTTCCTCCCCAGTCGACTTCCTGGGAAACGGATGGTGCTTTTCTTGCTGCCATCGTCCGACTCGGACTTAACGACCTTCTCGCTGTCTCCTTTCTCCTTCTCTTTCTGGCGCCATTTCTTCTTGCGATTGCGCCTCTCTTTGGCACTCTTTGAGCTCAGCTTGGAGACTTCGGAGGAGCTGCGGGACAAGTGTCCTCCTTCTACATCTTCTAGCGCAGCCTCTGACACGGTCCCTGCAGATGTTGCCATCGCAGCAGCCTGCAGGGGAAAACAAAAAGTCACATGATGTTAGCTGATCAGGCAAAAAAAAGTAAAAATTATTTTACGTGTGCCAGATACTGACCTGCGTCTCTTCCTGTTGTTTCTTGAGCTGTTCCAACATGGCCTTGAATTCAGCCTCTTTTTGCTCAGCCTCCTCAATCGTGGCCTGGTTCTGCTCCTCGTAAGCCATGGCCACCACAGCCAAGATCAGATTCACCAGGTAGAAGGAGCCCACGAAGATGACCAACACAAAGAAAACCATGTAGGTTTTCCCTGCAGCTCTCAGTGTCTGAGAGAAACACAAAGAAATGATAAATAATTACAAGTTTAACAATTTGGATATTTGTTTAAAGCAGATAAATTGCCCCATAATAAAGTTAAAGTGATTTGAATAAAAAGGTTGGCAAGTTGCTCGTGTGCGTTTGTCATGAAACACTTTCATCACTACGTCAGCTACATTTCCAGTTAGTTTTTCTGATCTGCTGCCCTTCCATCCTTTTTATTCAGAGGGCAAATGAATTAAGGTCATGCTGCTAAGAGCCAGTTTGCTGATTCATTCAGGAACTAAATTAATGAAGTTTTAATTCTGCTTATAAAGCCCATAGCTGCACATGTAGGGTTCTGAGATCGGCACAAAAATGTGTAAAAATTATGGCTTTATAATAGAGTCATTTTAAATGCACAGGATAAATGCTCTTTTACCAGCATGTAGAGATTTTCCCAGAAGTCTTGAGTCATGAGACGGAAGAGAGTCAGGAAAGCCCATCCAAAGCTGTCAAAGCTGGTGTAGCCGTAGTTAGGGTTTCTGCCAGCTTTCATGCAGGTGAAGCCTTCTGGACATCGTCTGGAAGAAACATGCACATAATAAAAATAAAAATTAAATAAGATGTGATTATCTGYATCATGACATTAAAATGTGTGCTGACATTTTAAGCAAAGATAAAACAGATCATTAATAAAAATGCTGTTAGTTTGAAAGTGAACACTGATTTCATTTAAATAAAGACTTTAGTATTTTAGGACTTTTTGTCATGATTTATGATGGCATGTGTGACTGGCTGCATTAGAGTATTTCAAGATAAATATTAAAGTTTCAATAATACCTTCATGGATAATAATAACTGAATAAAATATGTCATAATTTTTGGTGATTTTGTTTTGTTTTATTAGTTCCTTGTATTTTCATATGGTTCTATGTCGTTTATTTCTGTCAATGCTTTTTATTGGTAACCAGTGATTACTAATTGGTATTTTTAGCTTTTTTTGTCAATGTCTTACTTTGTCTTCAGTATAATGGTTAATACTACTGTTAGGTTTTTAATAAAGATATTAAAAATTATCTAAGTAAATATCTAAGGGGATTTCAAAGAAGAAAGACTTTGCCATAAGTAAGATTTTCACATTTTAATCAATTTCTTTGAAAAATATTCTGATTACATTAATGTAAACAGTCATAAGGAGAGCAGAAAGGCATTTACAGTGGGGTGCAAAAGTTTTGGCACCCTTGTTAATTTTCCTGGTTTACCTTTATAAATCATTGATTGTTTGGATAAAAAAAATCAGTAAAATATATCATTTAGGGGACAAACACAGTGATATTTGAGACGTGAAATGAAGTTTAAATGATTTACAAAAAGTGTGCAATAATTGGTTAAACAAAATTAGGCAGGTGCATAAATTTGGGCACCGTTGTCATTTTATTGATTTCAAAACTTTTAGAACTAATCATTGGAACTTAAATTTGGTTTGGTAAGTTCAGTGATCTTCACCTCCATACACAGGTGACTCCAATTATGATAAAGGGTATTTAAGGGGGGCAATTGTAAGTTTTTCTCCTCTTTGCATCTTCTCTGATGAGTCACAGCATGGGAGTCTGAAAACAACTTTCAAATGAGCTGAAAACAAAGATTGTTCACCGTCATGGTTTAGGGGAAGGATACAGAAAGCTACCTCAGAGATTTCAGCTTTCAGTCTCCACTGTGAGAAACATTGTGAGAAAATAGACCACAGGCACAGTTCAAGTCAAGGATCAAAGTGGCAGATCAAGACAAATCTCCAATAAACAGAAGTGAAGGATGTTGAGAAGAGTCAGAGTCAACCCACAGACCAACACCAAAGACCTACAACATCATCTTGCTGCTGATGGAGTCACTGTGCATCGTTCAACTATTCAGCACGCTTTACACAAGGAGATGCTGTATAGGAGAGTGATGCAGAGGAAGCTTTTTCTCCACCCACATCACAAACAGAGCTGCTTGAGGTATGTTAAAGCACATTTGGACAAGCCAGCTTCATTTTGGAATAAGGTGCTGTGGACTGATGAAACTAAAATAGAGTTATTTGGGCAGAAAAAGGGCCGTTATGCATGGAGGAAAAAGAATACAGCACTCCAAGAAAAACACCTGCTATCTACAGTGAAATGTGGGGGTGGTTCCATCATGCTGTGGGGCTGTGTGGCCAGTACAGGGACTGGGAATCTTGTTAAAGTTGAGGGACGCATGGATTCCACCAATATCAGCAGATTCTGGAGACCAATGTCCAGGAATCAGTAACAAAACTGAAGCTGAGCCAGGGCTGCTTCTTCCAACAAGACAACMACCCTAAACACTGATCAAAATCTACTGAGGCCTTCATGCAGAGGAACAAGTACAACGTTCTGGAGTGGCCATCTCAGTCCCCAGAYCTGAATATTATTGAAAATCTGTGGTGTCACTAAGAGAGCTGTCCATTCTCAGAAACCATCAAACCTGAATGAACTAGAGATGTTTTGTAAAGAAGAGTGGTCTAAAATACCTTCAGCCACAATCCAGACTCTTATTAGAAGCTATAGGAAGTGTTGAGAATGTTATTTCTGCCAAAGGACGATCTACTAAATATTGAGTTAAGTTTTTTTATGGTGCCCAAATTTATGCACCTGCCTAATTTTGTTTAACCAATTATTGCACACTTTCTGTAAATCATAGAAACTTCATTTCACTTCTCAAATATCACTGTGTTTGTCCCCTATATGATATATTTTACTGTTTTTATTTATCCAAACAATCAATGATTTATAAAGGTAAACCAGGAAAATTAACAAAGGTGCCCAAACTTTCGCACCCCACTGTACTGTACATACATAAATATATCAAAGAAAATTTACTGCTGTGAATTTCTACATTGCATCAAATACCTCCTTAAAAATGCTTTGCTCCAGAAGCAATGTCATTATAAAAAAGTCATCGTACTAATTGTTAATTGTATTTTGCAACATGTAAAAACTGTGCATTTGTCTGTGCAGCTGCTCTAATCAGACACCAATGAATAGACATGCACTGCTGTAATAGATTATTACTTGAAATATATCTTTTAAAACTATTATTAGAACAGTCATGTTGGGTGTTGTGTTTTGGGGCTGGCTGGATTAGTTAAAACTTCATCTTTAGAAAGTTAAAACTTTGACTAAATTTGAGTGAATTGCACATTAGATGAAATAAACTCCCAAACTAAGTTTTTTTCCTTTGGTTGCAGCATTTCTGCGGGGTTTTTTGTGCATTTCATAGTTTATGCAGTGCTACAGGCCAAAAACATGAGTGTGAGTGTCATTTCTTTGTCTTTCTAAAGTAGCCTCACACCAAAACAACAGAGCTGGTTTCAGTATTTTTTTGTTGTTGTTGTTGTTGTTGTTGTTGTTGTTGTTGTTGTTGTGGCTTTCTTTAGGATAATGCAAATGTAGCTAAAAGTCTTTTGCTCAGTGCCTACAGAACCTGTCTGAAAGAAAACCCACGAGTGACGTTTGGAGGGATTTTATACAATGAGGATACTCAAAAAATTCCTGGGAGTTTACAGTGACCTCACTGCTTTGTGTTWGCTACACCTCAATGACAAAGATTTAAAAGATGTCTTAAATTTAATCAGACACTCACCCTGAGTCAGAACTGTTTCCACAAAGCAGAGCATCCAGCGCGTTAGGGAGGAAGTAAAAATTAGCTATAACAAAAAAGGTGAAACAAAACAATCACTCTTTAGCACACCCTTGAACTCGAATGCTTCTTTATGTTAGCACAAATTATACATTTTATCTTTGCAGGCAAAGAATTAACATATTTAATGAATTAGCACAGTTTACTCATGGTTTCACTCACAGTCATTCATGATGTATTTGCCCCAATCGAACCCTCTGCTTCCGTTCTCCAAGTACTGCTCGGTCATGTTGATGGGCCAGATGACGCAYTTATTCCGCAGGTTCCCCATGAAGAGCTGCAGTCCAATCAGAGCGAAGACACTGAGACAGAAGACGGTCAGGATCATCACATCCGACAGCTTCTTCACAGACTGGATCAGAGCACCAACGATGGTCTTTAGGCCTGTTGACACACAAATTACACACACACACACACACACACACACACACACACACACACACACACACACACACACACACACTTGTATTCACTACATAGTGAGAACCAACTAAAAAGA